ATTCGTTGATATTTGTGATATCACAAATCCCGGAAAATATGCATTGTAGTCCAAATGAGTCGTTCGTTGTATAAAAAAAAAATCTACTTTTGAAGTGGACTTTGAGCTTTGTAACTTTGCAGATCTTTTTTATGCTCAAACAGCAACATTACAGACTAACTAAATTTGAAGAAGTGAAAAAGCATAATAGGACCCCTTTAAAAAAACTGGTTTGTGACAGAATTAAACTTGAACAGATACATTGGGGTTACAAATCTGAACTGAGGGGGAACTGAAAAATGCACGCTGCTTTAAGTTATTTCCAACCTGTGCTTTTTTGCTTTGCAATACTCTAACTTGCTTTTGCGAGTTTCTCTTCAAACATTAGCTCCGCCTTTGTCAATATTCACACTTGTAGCCCTTCCACTTGTCTATGTGTTACACATTTTCTTAACTATGGTAAGTGAATTTTAGTTTTAGGTTTAAATATTTTCCTTGTCATTCTTTTGACAAAAATATGCTACTTTGCTCAGGAAACTGGGCTACAGGCCTGAACATGATGAATTGCAGGATACATTTACTTGTAATACCATTCTGAAATGGTATTAGGGTTGCTGTGGGATTTTAGTACAGTGTGAAAACATTTAAGAAGGCAAAACCACAAGTATTGGGGCGGGCGTAGATTATTTACCTTAGAAAAAGATGTTAATACTAGCTACTGCACATTTTACAGCAGAACAACACACAAAACTGAGGTACAAGTGTTTGCTTTTTGGGGCCTAATGCTGCAAGTCATCTGAAAATTCAGTCACACAGTACAGTCTTATTGTCGAAATAATGCAGAAATCCTTTGCTAATGAGACTGTGAAAGCAGATGCAGGCTGATGGATTATTTGTGCATTGGAGTGCATATAGACGCCGGTGTTGTGGGATCTCATCATTGTTATTTGCTCTTGTGTGAGTCTGTCAGGGTGTAACTAGAGCTGGACGCTGGGCTGGATCACTTCAAAGAGACAAGAACAGAAGAACACTGTTCCCTCGGGTCACCAACTAACAAAGATCTACTGTTCAATAATCATGCTGCTTTACCAGAAGAAAACACATCTTATTTGACATAACACAAATTTTCAAACATCGGTGTCATTTTACACCGTGAATTGGTAGTCCAGAACCAAACAGAGCAATGAATCTGATTACCAAGATAGGGATTTATGTAAACATCAATTTACTGAGAAGCTGGGACTAGTTGACACTTGGGAAACAGCTCTATATCTGATTACCTATGAGTCAAGAGTCTAATGTCACACATGCACATATACTTTTTTTTCTAAGCATATTTATTCTAGAGCGGTTTGTATGTTGGTTTCATTTTTGTCATCCAATCTAGAATGTCATCATAGTTTAGTAATAACTGTAGGCTAAGCTTTGGGGACTAAAAAAACCACCAAGGCATCTATTAAGACCATCAATTTATATCCATAAATATCAGGTTGGGAAAAGTCACATTTTAAATGTTATACAATTAATTAATTACATGCTTTTCTTTGGATTATTTGTGTTCAACTGTATTTTCTTGTTCAAAAGCTTTTTGGAGCCAAGACTAAAAATGGGGAAAGTCCAGTTGCATGCATTTATACAGTATATTAGCACTTTATATAACAGAGATCGTTTCAAAGCATCTTCATTAATAAACAGGAAAATAGCAGTATTAATGCTGTAAAATTCAGCAGCTCTACAGAAGACACTAGTGTTTTTTCAGTTCAGTTCAATAACTTTCATCAATTTATGAACTGAATCAACACTATAAACTGACTTCAGCTGAATAATGACAATGTTGCCAAGTTAGTGTCATTATCCAGCTCAGTTCAGTTCTCATCAGAGAGCGTCAGTGCAAGGTAACGCAAGGAAACAGGATGAAATTTCAAAAGTCAGAAATGTTTACTAGAGTAAAGCAGGTCTCCCCTATTTTAAAGCACTCACCGGAGGGACTCTGGAAGCTCTTCAGTTGCTGCCACCAGTTTCAGAAATGAATGAAAGAGCTCCACTTTACTGATTAATGACCTACACATGGAGAAATATAAAACATGATAAGCATGTGCTCATGGCTGGTTATTGTGTGGTTTGTGATGACAGTCAACTCACAAAGTAACATTAAGCAGGCTTCATTCTGAATGCATACAGCACGCCTGTGTGAGTCATAAATATATAATCCTCAGAATGCCAATTATTTGTTGTCAGGTGAACTAACCTTGCTTGCCATGTGCCCAGAGCTTTTTTAGTCACTCCCTGTTTATAACCATTTGCAGTGACATCTAGAGGCTGCTGGGAAATGGCACACCAGCTGATTGCTGTAGGGATATTCACATATTACTGTTAGTTCAGCAGGAGAAAACATCTAATCATTACCAGAACAACTAAACTGGACATTACTATACAATACGAAGACAATGAATGAAAATGCTTGTCAATTTGAATCATACCAGCTCTGTATGCGGGTCGATTCTTCAGTTATGGACACTTTGTGACCTTGAAAAATGAACCTTCTGCTGAACCTCTTCGCAGGGGATTTTTGATATTCATTGCAATGGTAATGATTTTTGGTAAATAATTTTTTTTCACTTTCTTACAAAGACTTAAGCAAGTTATCAATAGAGTACTGCAGGCATGACGTATTTTGTAGGCCAAAACCCAGAAACAAGCATTTTAGCTCTCCAGTTCCAGGTATGTGGTGAACACGAGCTCAAGATATTTAACGTTTTATTCCACAACATAAAATACATCACTAATACGCCCATTACTTCTTTTGAAAAAAGGCGGTTGAAAACGTGTCTAAATGGTACTACAGAGGTTGTCGGTGACATTAAACTCAACTACTCACTAGTCGCTTTCACGGCCACGTTGTGTTTATAATCGTGCTCTCGCAAACAATCCTAACTCAAACACTCAAGTGGAAAAATCCCACTGGGTTTCTGTTAAGGGAACCAGGGTGATGTTAACTTCCGGGTTGGCCTATACAAATACTTCATCAATGCAGCAATTTTAAACTCATAAAATAAAAAGAAGGGTATTATTTATGAATTAAAATACTAAATCATGATGTTAAAAAGTTATTACATTTCTGATTTTCAAACTGTCACCTCTTCTTTTTTCATCATAGGGGATAGAAACGTAAAGGGTGTTACTGTAGGTGTGCGGTCTGCTTTGGGATTGTGTACACTTTAGATGTAAGATTAATGTTTGGATATCGCACACTGATAGGAATCTTATCTACAGCGGGAGTGTCCGCTGACACATTCAGTGCAGACTGCATCACTGTTTCTATTTGCTTTTGTCGTAACGTGCCACTCGTGTCTGGTACAGACAGGATGCAAGCCTGAAATGGACTCAAACTCATTTTGAGGAGTTACACAAGCACAAAAATAAATCCCTATATGAATGAATATGTCTGTGTGCTCACCTGCCCCGCAGGGAGATATTCTGCCCTGTGTGTGTGTGTGTTTGGCCTCGGTGTGTGTGTGGTTGTTAGGAAATCCCAGAGTGGACTGCAGAATCTCTGGATCGTGTGCAGAGAAACCTGACGGCAGATCCCTCACATCAGAGCATCTGTGACAGATGAGAAGAGAGGTTTGTTTTAATGGAACAATTTAACATAGATTTTGTCAATTATATGGCTGTTTTTTATGTTCCAGCCTTCCTCTTTACCGGTTTTGTTTTTTTGATGAGTTATGACAAATAAAAATCACCCCCTAAAATTATTTGAATCAAATAAAAAGCATTTTAGAAATCCCTCCCTCATTAAAATGACTGTATATTATATGGCTGTACAAATACTTTTATATATTTATTATATTATTAAATGTTTTCAAATATTTAAATGTATTATTTATTCATTTTGTGCATACAATGTTTGAGTTATTTAAGCTAAAATACTTTCTTCTATATCAGCTTAATAAATAGAGACATCTGTAATTAAATCATTCATAAGTCCATTCCCTTACAAGTGTAATATATAAATATACAAAAGTAATATACTATTGCTAAATAAACACCACAAAGAAAAAAATATATTTATACAAAATTTAGCAACATATAAGAAACAGCAATTTTGTTCTCCAAAATTCAGAATTTTGGCAAGAAAAACAAAAAGAACCCAATTACAATTCAAAACCCTCTGGAGCTCATGCATGTGGAAAGCATATTGCGCTATGAAATGGAGGGTTTATACGGTCATTTCTGACTTTTGGGCAGTGGCTCCTAATAAAAGTGGGCATTGGTGAGATCAACATAAAAAGAAAAGTGGAAAAAAATAACAAAATCTGGAAAAAGATCAAGCTGACATCAATCTGTAAAACCACAACACCTGAACTGAGACAAAAATCCAGTTAAAGCATGACAGCCTTCCAAAAAACACAGAGAAATCTCTGGTTAAGCATTTACAGACAAACCTGTATCCTGTATGTCTAGTAGACTGAAACTTGACTAAACACAGCTATTACAGCACAAGTGTTATTTGAGCAGGGTGCAGGAAACTCTCATTTAAATGTGCATTTTAAATATGTATAATATCTGTCCAAACCCAATACATACATACAGTATATATATATATATACTGTATATATTACATTTGTATCCCCTCAAAGTTATGGCCAAAGTAAACTTTTTTCGTTGTCTTGTAATATACACATAAGAGACCATAAAAATTACCAGTATTTTACAGCTCTTTAACCAGCAGAATCTCACACTCAGAATGCTACTACGAAGAACTTCGACAGTATCTGTCAACATTTCACGTTCATATCATCCACATAAAAAAAAAATCAAGAGAAACCTTATTAAATGCTCTGCATGCGCATTAGACTTACCCAGGTATCCATAAAAATAAAAAAATTATATAAATATATATAAAATAAAATAAAATAAAATAAAAATTAATTTGGCACTGAGACTCAAACTCTTACCATTAGAAATTTACCTATAACTGGAACTTTGAGCAATCTTGATCATTACATTTGGACTTCAGTTCTAAGTCTAAGCAACAAGAATGCTCAAAATATATATTCATATTGTAGTGTTGGGGGTAACGCATTACAAGTAACGTGAGTTACGTAATCAGATTACTTTTTTCAAGTAATTAGTAAAGTAATGCATTACTTTTTAATTTACAAGAGAATATCTGAGTTACTTTTTCAAATAAGTAACGCGTTACTTTTTTTTCCACTTTACTGATTGACAGCTCTCCTGTCCCCATGTTGAGAGAAATCAGAAGATGCTACTGTAGTTCTAAAATAAATATGAATATGCATTAATTCATCTCACTCACTCACAAAAAAAAAATCAGATTTCGTTTTCCTCAAAATTAATAAAAACAGTTAAAAGCAACTCAGAATATGACTCAAAGCTG